TGAGCCTATGACACTTTATAAAAAGAAGTAATCCAGAACAATCTCTAGGTAATTAACACCTAGATAAACAAACATAAATTTCTATATTGCATTTATTTGGACTACCACTCAAATACGCGTGAACCATGCTTTTTTAATTAAAAGATAAATCTATGTGACACTTAGCCTCAAACTTAATTATTCAGCATAGTATAATAAAAAATAGAGCCCATTAAATGTGTCTTGCTCTGTATTTCTGTATTAACAGCAAAACAGTTCACTCTGGGATCATTTAAATTTTCTTCTTCCTCTTTTCCTGCAATTTCCCTGTTCACTGAGAACCTTCGGTTAAAAAAAAAAAAATACCATAACAAAAAGCCCCCAAATGATACCCTGAACAACACCAACAGGTGAGGAGCTGTGGAACTTCTCACAGCCCCTATAACACTCAGCTGGGTGACATTTTTAATATGACATTACACCACAGCTTCACTCTCCCTCCTCCCTCTCCCCGGCCTTCCCGACGGAAACATACTTCCACTGTGGTGGATCATGCCAAGCAGCGATATCCAGAAATGAAAACCACAATAGTTAATAATTTCACTGGGAACATGCTTACAATACACAAGGTGAGGGTTTTATAACGTACTGTTACGATGCAGATGTTAAGCAGATAGGGGGAAATATTCAATTCCCAAATTACAACAGGCAGAGGGCTTATAGTCCTTATAAAAGTTTCAACAAGAAACATTATCTTAGAGCTGAGAGCAGCCTTGTGATGTTAGGTGGGAAGACTCTTGTCAAGACACCCACCATCTGTGTGAGGAAGGCTGCCCATCAGCTGCAGGTAACAAAAATCTCCACAGATTTCTATGAGACAACCACCTTCCTCTTTCAGACCTTCTTCCCCACAAACTGCCTTGGCAGGTGATGCAACACCACCCTTGGAGGTACACGGCCACTGGTGGTCATTTTCATAGTTTCCTAGGGGATATAGGTACTGTTTAATGCACAGTTCCCAGTGGAAATTCAGGACCATAAAAGGAGGCTGTGTTTGCAAGCATCTCTGTGGAGGTGCAGTGAGACAGTCATTGCTCCTTAATCAGGTTTTCACGTTTTCATTTATTGTCTATTGAAACCAGAAGGCAGGAAAATCTTTGGGAGACACCTCCCACCCACCCCAGCTCCCCAGATGGCTGTTTTTCCCTGGATCAAGGGCGCAGTGATTACCTGAAAGGACAGTGATCCTGCTGTGAGGCAGAGTTCAGCTCTGAGCCTGGAGCTCATCCATCCTCCAGCCACATTTTTACATGCTACCATTTTGTGCCTAGGAAGGGTGGTTCCCCCCGAGAGGGTGTGTCACACACACCCAAAAAATCATTAGCTGCTTGGATTTTGATTAAACTTTGATGCATTGCAGATTTTATTCTCTGTGGATGAAGAGACCTGTGGCATTTGCCAATACACCAGGGAATTTGGCACCAGCTCCACGATTCCCATGGCCACACACACTCGCTCTGCCAGTTCACCGGTGACAGCAACTCCTCACTGCAACTTTCAGTCACCAAATAACTGAATTTCTCTGACGATACGCTTTAAATCTTAACCCTTCTGACAATTTTTGTACCTTTTTCTATGGGAGAATTCAAGCTAAGATATAACTTTATTATTGTGGGTACAACTGGTTTCATTTAATGTTAAAATTTCCCTTTTCTAAACACGTTTGCCTTCTCAGCTTTTTTTGGAGCAAGGCCATGTTCCTCTCTCCTCCCCATACTTGCTGTAGTTTCTCAGATTTGGTGCATCTTTTTTTGATGTTAATCATCCTTACTTTTCTAAGAAGTGAAAAATCCTTTAATTTATTTCCTTTCAAATGTGCAGATAAAACCTTAAAGGGGAAGAAGAAAGATCTACCCAGGAGAATGGGAGCACTTACACATTCTTTGAAGTGTGGGCAGCTTTCTTAACATGCACCATAACAATAAACCTCACAATTTTCTAAAGCCAAATATATGATCTATACAAACAATCTTTTTTAATGTGAAAACATGACTTTATACATCATAGTGTATGATACACACTTCAAACACTTTCAAATCAAAGCTTGATAGACCCCAAGACTTTTTCTATAGTACATAAGTAGTAGTATATAAAACAATTATTACTACATGCTAAAACAGATTTCCACAGTCTTTTAATTAAGCACAATATATATAATATATATATGTATATACTGTATATAGATTTGTTCAGATTAATAAGTGGACTGAGCACACACACCCAGCATAATACACTCCAGTAACTGCCTAACAACTGTGAATTTACTGGCATTAATTTTTTTCTTTTTAAATCTGACAAAGCTGAAGAAAATAATGTTTTAACTGTTCCTAATAAACATAAGCAAGTAGGAAAACTTTTTTTTTTCAGAGGTAGAGGTTTTATTGCGTAAAACACTGGATAAAACTGTACTGCTTCAAAGACATTTTTATTCTAACAGCAGAAAGAAAACAGTCATTGCTGA